CATGGCGAATGCGCAAGAGGAGTGCGCCTCATGCGCTGGTCGCGGTGCTGGCAGTCGCCTTGTAGCCGAAGGAGCCATCGCATTGTCTGCCCCGAGCGGTATGTGAACTGGCCAATCGGCTACCAGTAACTTGTTATGCCAGCCCATCCGTTCAATCCCTGGAGAAAGGCGAGCATGCCACCTAGCAGCCTTGTGGCATCAAGTAGAAAGCTTCGTGCTGATGTAGCCCTCTTGTATGTTCCAAGTGTTCGGCTCGAGAGGTTCGGGAGGCGCGGACGTCGTATCAATGTTTTGACGGAGCAGACTGTTAGGTAAGGCGCGGGCGGTTCTAGTAGAAGGCGCGAGAGGCCGCTACTGGGGAGGCATCCGTGCTGTGACCGCGGGTGTATCGCGAGGATCGATAGTTCCGCAGCAATAGCTGGTGCCTAGCTGATGCTGATCAGACCACCCCTCTGCGCTCGCCGCACTCGATCTTGGATTTCCGCCTTTCTTGGTATCCTCTCATGTTGTCTCCCTGACACCGCATCAATGTCTGGATGCCTCGCGGTCATGCGCTTGTCCTGGGAGAGGTTGACAATGTGCGCGCTGGTGCAAGCGACAAGCGGAAGTGCGTAGGCCTTGAGACTGTATGAGATGCCTGCATAGTGCCGTTCGTTGCGCTCATGTGTAGCTGTGAACGTTTTCCAGCTCATCGCATTGCCGTAGGGTCGTGAGAGGTGCGCACGAGCGTTGCGGGCGAGAAGTCCCCAATAGGCCTGGAGTGTGCGAGATTCTCAGCGCGCCTTTGTATATGGATGGAGATCGTTCATCGACATCGAGTGCGCGCGTACGGTGGGCGGGTAGGAGGTGACTTGCTTGGGAGCGCTGGCTGCGCCCGTGACCGGGAGGCTACTGCAACGCATCAGTCAGGCGCTTGAGCGACCACTCTATGAATGGTGCAGGCATCATGGAGCTTGCGACGAGATGACGAGCGAGACTTGACATAGCGCGCACAGCTCTCGGATCGGTCGAAGCTGTCAGGGAGGGTCGGCTGGGAGTTTTCGCGTTACTGAAGGCGATGCGCGAGCGCTGCAGGTGTCGGCTGGGCGACTTGTGGGGGGTAGCTCAGCGCGTGCCCCCTAATCGGGAAGGCATATGAAGCCGGAACGAATGACGCAAGCGAGGTGTCACCTTAACGTCCGGCAAGAGTGAGAACGTTCTGTGGTGTTGGAGTGGGCGCAAGTCGCAGCTTACACGTACGCGGAAGGAGAGCTAGGGTGCCCGCGCTGAGTCATGACTGGTGTGGCTCGGCTGCACCAGCCACATGCCTGCCTCACCCGGCATCCTCCGCGCGCGACAAGCGCAATGATGGCCAGTCTCAGGCATGCAGAAAGAGCGCTTGCACCTCGTACGGTAATCTCGCTGTCAAGCTGGCAAGTCGATACAAGAAGGACAATTTCTATTTGCGATGCTGTTCATGCCGTCATCATCGTCTGCAGGTATGGTGACAGCTTGCCCAAGCTTTGAGGCTCTACGGGAGATCGACGTGCTAATCTCGAAAAGGCCTAACTCCGACGCAGCCTCTCCCGCGTCGCGACGAGCCGCCAGCATCGCTGAAGCTCATTTCGTACTTCGACACTATCAAGTCGCTTCTTGTTTGGACGTATCACTATCCCACTATTGAACAGGTGATATCGCTGGCATCTCGCATGATCTCACGTCTTACTGGCGAGATCCCCGCTCCTCATCCCGTCACGCTGGGCGTACGTTGGACTCGAATCGTGAGTATTCAAGCCTATTCCAGCCTGTAATGGTCTCAACATGTCAATCCGCACCCTACACAAAGCCATATGAGCCACTTTGCTGCATTAGGTAATGCTGCTCAGGGATGCAATCTCTTCTTCGAATCCAGCTCTAGTATTTGTACTGGAATCCTCGTTTTGTATGAGGCGAAGGGTGTTGAATTAGAAGAGGTGCTTCGAAATTCAACTTATACTTGTGCGGTGTGCCAATTTATGATGAGCTCATTTATGAAAGCATTTAGCGAAGCTTCGGAGCTGGACTATACCTAGGTATCATACAGCGAGCGCACACGATCAATTCGTCTGACTGCGACGTGCAAGGAACGCATTAAGTTCATAAAACTCTCTACCGCTCGCTTTCGAATCGTCTTCAATGCAAGGCCATTCTTCTTCCTCACACCTACGCGGACTTTGTTTCCAAAAGCGACTGATGTGCTCTAAGCCAATTCAAGCATCCTTCAGGCAGCGACTCGATCAAAGTCAGATGAATCATGTCACGGTCTTTACTATTGTGCAATGATCGCAAGGTGCTTCGAAGAACATGCGCTCTATCCGCCCATCGTTTGTACTCAGTAAGCTCAGCATTATGGTAAGCCACGCGTCCATGGCAAGGTATGCGCAGCAAATGCCAGGTGTTATTCATTATACGTCTCACCAAGCGCGCCATGACATGTCAGTGATGATCAGCTGTTGCCTTTCCCTTAGTACAAAGAGACGCCCGGCCCCTCTTACCAGTCTTTCGACCCCACATCCATATGTCCCAGGTAATTGGCACTATCTGCTAGACAACAGACCGCTACTTCATCAGACGCTGTCTCACCACACGGGGCACAGATACATAGTCTTGTCACTTGCTCAAACCATTGTCTGGCATCTCCCACTGCATCGGGATTAAAAGTCTGGACCTTCAGCTACCGCTTCATTCTTCCGGACACGGCAACTACCACTTCTTCCGGCAAGGCAACATCAGTGAGATTTGGGCAACCATCTCATGGCGGTCGGAGTACTCTCGAATCGGTAGCCACGTAAGAGTGGCTCAACGGGGTAATCCAGGCGTGTCTCCCCATGATAAAAGCAATCAGCATGACGAGCTGGCATGTTCACGCAAGCACCTCACGGACGGAAGATGCCATTCGCGCCACTCAAACAGCAGATCCCACGCATGTCGCGTTTGGAAGCACAAGGATCAATTTACATCCATGAGACAGCTCTCCCGATCGCGCCGTGGACGGGGACTCGGCTTCCGACATTCAAGAACACGGTCTGTAAAAGTTTCGGGCACAATTGCAGGCAGTCAAGACTCCAATCAAGACCATGCTGTTTCGGGACTCGACGGAACACAACGCTCTGGTGGTTCTGAGGCAAATCGCCGACGCGATGGCTATGCAGAATATGAGGGAGGGTACGCAAACCGTGTGCTTATTCGTACAGGGCTCTAAGATCCACAGTTGCGAGTTGCATAAGAGGGTGAAGCTACTAGGTTGCAACGACAATATTTGTGTCATCGTCATTGCGACAGACCTGGAAGAAGTGGCTCCATTCTCAAGCGCCATGTACCACCACCTTACTCGAGATTCGAATGATGCAATGACCCAGAGGAGCTTCGAGAGACTGCTTGGTGTTGCGGGCGCTACACTCCTCCTTCCAAGCCGCCACGATGCTTGTTTGTCCCCATATCTCCTTAGTCGCTGCACCGTCATCGATGATCGCGCAGCTGTTTGAGACTGCCGCTCTTATTGGAGCTGCGATTAGAAGATAACAAGAACGTGAATGGACAGTGTGCGTACGGATATCGGGGTATTAGCGTCGAGAGGCGGCTTGGGAAAGCTGACGTCTTGCGAAAAGGTGAAAATTCCTTATCTTTTGACAGCTTTGCGTAGTCGCTAACATATGATAGCGGAGATCGAGCTTTTCAGGAATGAGATCTGCGTTGCGTAGAATGCAGGAGGAAGGGATGCATTCCACGATCTATTACAGGCGTTCTTCTGGCCTATTGTCACTGTCCAAAGGCAGAGAATCTTCCCGTGACAGTGACCCAAGACGAGATCAGGCTGACGGAAAACAATTTGAAACCAGCGGTCAAGCAGGACGAAGTATTTGGGATAGGTAGAATGCGAGGCTTCCGATTCACAGGATTTGACTATGTGATTATCCTACTCTACTTCGCGCTCGCGTAAAAAAGACTTTTGTCTGCATCTCGCCTGACAGTATTGCCAGTAGGCCAAGTGGTACTTTAGTCTGTGGTTTCATCGCGGCATCAACTCTCTAATAACATCGCTAGATTGTGGGGGTAGTGCGCGGTGAGCTCGTCTACTCATCGAGAAATGCCTTGAGCGGCAGGGCATACTAATGCGATCTGAGGTATAGCCTAGCTCGTTATACGTACGACGCGTAGTTTTCGGCATCATGTCGTGTGGCTTTGCTTTACTTTCAAGGCCGATGTTACACTCTTCAACACGAGTCTTCCCTCTATAATAGTCTCGCGGTTGATCGGGCTCCCTTAAAAGGCGGGAACACGGGTAGGCGATAGATGTTGTGAGTACACGCGCACAATGCACAACTGTGTCGGAGGACACCCGGCTACTTGGATCTTCATAGCCATCTTTTGCAAGGTCAGTGTCGCTTGCCCCCAAAGAGATTGGCGTGATCAAACACCTAGTCACTCTTTTTTGAAGCTCAGTGGAGACGTATTACCAGCGTCGTGGCTGGACCACGGAACCTTTCTATCGAACGCTGGCCCGCGTGGAGGCAACACGTCTATTCACTCGTTGCCTGGCGGACCTCTTCACCGCCGTTATGGCCTGTTGGTACTCGCGTTTACATCACCACTGCAGTAGGACAAATTCAGCAATAGCAAGGAAAGCATTCAATCGTCTTTGAATCAGTGTCACGGCTACCTGACAACGACTGGATGCCAATCATCTCCGAGACTTACGATCTCACGCCCCGCACACGCACGCGGAGAAGCCAAAATCCGATACGAGCTGATTCATCCTGTATCCGCTTTCTGACCCCTCTGACTCTCAGCAGAGCGTTCGGTAATGAGCCTGATGTATTGGTATGGTGAGAGGCCACACCGCTACAGCGCGTAGACAAGCGACATTTGACCGCAATGCCTAGATCCAAACAAGCTACTACAAAAGACGTCTACCCAACTCAACTCAACGACGCGTGGTGAACAACCGAGCCATTAGACGTAACAATAGGGCTATCGTCAGCATGGGCACTGACACTTCTATCTTCTTCACCGAAGATACTCTCCCTAATGCGCAATGGGCCGAGGACACAATCGAGGACCAAGCAAAAATGGGCGACGTGAACGACGTGGTAAACCGGGTCTTGTCCACACCTTTTCCGCCCCAGACTTTGCTGGTTTTGGAAACAAGTACCGATCGCGCCATTCATCTGGCCAAGGCTGCAGTTGATGCTATCGCCAAAGTGAATGCGAAGAAAGGCCGGCCCACGGTGGTCTTCTCTGTCAACGGGCCCGAAGTCCACAGTCAAGTGCTTTTCCGACGCATGCGTCTGCTGAGCCAAAACGACAACCTCCGGCTCGTCCTGATGGCTAGTGGAGCGCAGATGGTCGCACCGTACGGTTGTGGAATGCACGCTAGCCTTATGGCGCAGGTAATTGATTTGCAATCCTCGAAGATGAACACAGCTGACCAGCAAAAGCACGACGCTTCTATGGTGCAGAAAAACTTGGAGCAGTTGACTCACTTGAGAAACACGATACTCTTATTCACGGGCGACATCACTGTACAGCTTTCACATTACTTTCTCTGCAAGTGCACCATTGCCCTAGGTCTGGCATGTCCCTCCTCTTGGCGCGAACCGCCGAGGTCGAGGCCGACGACGGACGACCAAGCATCCGAAACGCAGATTTTGCTGCATCGTAGGCCGGCCGGTGAGACGTATCGGAATGTTCGGGCCATGGGCTGGGCACCAGACATTCATCGGGATGATGGTGAGAAGCCATGAAAGGAAGGCTGGTAGCGGAATGGCCGACGGCATAACCAGACGACGCCATCGACATACCTCTCATTGCCAAAGATATGCACCGAGGGAGTGCGGCGAATGGACAAGCGGAATGTCATTGGAACGAGTTTGATTGACGTAGCATGGGCAGCCAACGGCATTTGGCTTCCACGTCGGGACCATTAGCGACGTGTGCATGAGTGCAATCTAGTGAGTGTCTTCAAATCCCGCGATGCAAATGCTGATAGATAGCAGTGGCCCTAACAAAATCATCTTTGCGTTGCTTATATCTTGCTGCGCAGAATTCGCGAACAGCCGGTCTGTAAAGACCCCGTATGGTCAATTGGGGGTCTGGAAATGAGATTGGCTTCGACGGGAGACCCACCACATATGACATCTTGATCTCAAGGCCGAGACGGCACCTCCGCATGATGTCTTGACATATCAGCTTTCTTCTATTCTAGCCGTGCAGATGGTATCGATGTTTTCGAGACTTCTATAGCATCATGGTATCTGAACCTTTTCCCAGCTCCAATTTTTGAAGTTTCGTTCTTCTTCCATAATATCACGTAACATCCGCTTTGTGCAGCAGGCCAACTGTGCGCGCACCGCTTACACAAAACGCCAATGTTTACAGCTTTAAAACAAGTCAAGGCCTTCCACAGAAGATACCTGAGTGTAATCTTGTCCAGATTCTGGAGGCGATCAGCCTTGTTTCTAGCTAGGTGGAAGAGCTCCTGCTTACACAACACCGCTATAGAACCTTTTGCACTCGATTACTTCCACCTTGGATCACATGGTAACCGAGAAGTGCAATTGAAGAGGTAGAGTGAAGAGGATTCCCCCACCGGGAGTTTTCAGGGTGCGGGAAGAGGTGCTGTCATGATGACGCGCGCCTATCATGGTCGCAAGATGTTTGATGCTGGCTATAGAGGACCTGCACCTTGATGCGCCGCGAGTGGACAAAGGGGACCATGAGCCGCCGTATTGGGGTGGAAGGGAGTCTTGATACCTCCCCCGGCTCTGGAGTGACTACGGAAAGGTTCAGAATATGCATATCTTGAACGCTGCAAGCGGTCAACTTGGGTCAGTGAAAACGTGAATGCGGAAAGTTTCGCGTGTTCGCAGCACATCATGTAGTGGTAGCGCGGCAGCGCTTCGCGGTCAAAGATGCAGTATTGCTGGTAGTGTGAGTGATGGTGAAGACATCACTTGAACAAGCTGTCACTGTCTAGCTCAGCATAGTCGCTGCTGGATGATGAGACTATTAGAAACAATTAGGGCTGGCTTGCGTAACGGCTGTAGGCATCAATCAAAGTCACGCTGTTCGAATTGTGATAGCCTAAATTGACTATCAAGCAGGCAGGCGTCTCTTCGTCACGGGGTCTCAGCATGGAAGACACCGAGAAAAGGGAGCGGTGAAGGCGACGCTCGAGACACCAAAGCGAATGTCTGGCCTGGCTGAGTGTTTCACGGCCATGAGACGACAAGCGACAAAATCCGGGAGGTAGAAATAGCCAGCAGATATGCAGAGATGTGTCGGGACAACAAAGAATACACCCAAAGATAATAGACCATTAGTACCTGTGCAGTCTGTAACTCAACCGAAAACGATGCTGTTGCTGTTCCTTGTATGCATCGCTGCTCAGCAATCGCATCTCCGTCAGACATAGCGACCGTGCCGCAGGTATTGCCGTATGAAGCCATGCTGTCCATGAGTGCCAACTACACTCGTCCTTGTTAGCTTCCATGGTGTGGCCTTTGCTTATGAGACGAAGCGCGGGACACTTCTCGTACCTCAGCGTCTCAGGTTCTCCGACAAAATCTGTGCTATCACGACAGTGCAAGACATTCTGGACTCGAGAAGCTCTTTGTGTAAAAGCCTAGCTCACTGACAGTTCGGATAACGGTGCGGGCGGAGTAAGACAGGTCTGAGACTTCAGGATTCGTCGTTTGTTTTGCTGATGCAAGAGTGCGAAAGTTTGACGCAACATACAGGACCTCACAGCTCTTTCGCCAGATATTCTATGTTTCGCATTAGGCAGAGACAAATCGCAGTTCTACGAAGGAGGAAATTTTAGCATGCGTTATGATAGACGAGCTAACGAAGAAAGCTCACCCTAAAAAGAAGTGCAAGGTACGGGCAAAGACTAGTGCTTTTCGTCTTCTCTGGTGGTGAATCGGCGACAGTAAATCGTGCAGAGATTTCTGTGACCGTTTGGATCCGAGGTTTGCCGCACTCGATACTTGTGGGGACGCTTGAACACGTCGCTGGTTTACGAGACATCGTGCGCATGTTGCCCTGTCACGCTCTTCTAAACTCTCACACCATCACTTTGCCAATCTTTGTACGATCCTCTTACTGCCTGCTCCTTCTTCTTCATCGCCCATTAGTGCTACAAATACGTCTTCGTGGTCTTCAACTGTGGATGAAGTAACTTTAACGCACCTGTCCAGCCAAGAGGTATCGCTTTTTCCACGATAGCATCTAGTGCACCGCATATTCAGTCCCCGATACAGCAGATTAACCTATAACTGTAAAGTTTTGATATTGCCTCGCTCTTGTCTCCACACTCTACAACCATTCATCGTCGATCTGCATTACACTGGTCCAGCTATTTTTGAAGCTAACTTCACCCTTCCATCAGAGCACGCATCAGGACCACACTATATTCGACATGCTTCTTCACCCTTTCTGTCTCTTCGTATTCTGAAGCGACTAGTCACCGGCGATTTGAACTGCGGACTTGATCTAGTCTGATCGCACTTAGGGCTCGACCTAAAGGAGTCGGTTTCATGTTGGTACAACGAATGACAGTGTTTGAGGCTGAGTGTGTCAAAAAATGCATTTAATCGTCTCCATAAGGCACCGTCAAAGGCTGCATTCAACCGATGTAGCGCTACTGCAGTCGCTGCATCACGATCGCAGGTCTGAATGCTTACGGGTGCGAGGCGTCTGGCCGACTCGTACTTAACGCTATTGTGACAGACCCGATCAATCATGAACATCTTGATGAACCTCAGGTATCCCTGAGTAGCAGCAAGTTCAAACGGCTCTCGACAGCATTGAAAGAACGCAGACAGTTGGCCCTAAGCATCAAGAAATCATTACCATCACATACGCAAAAGTACTCCTCAACTCAAATAAGAGGGATCAGAATTATTAGAACCTGCCAATGCTGCAGCATTGCAAACCCGCAGTTCATCAATATCACGAGACCGCAGTTCATCCATGAGAATCTTCTCAACTAACATTACATCGGTGAAATAAGATAACTCGATGGTACCTGCGCAATTCCAAAGGCGAAGGCCGTAGTCTTGGCGAACTGTACAATTCAGAAACGAAATCTAATCGCTTGTTGTGGGACGGGGATATGTATGCCATGACCGTGTTGCCACAGGAACGCTTCGAAGCATCAGATCCACGCTAGCTCTGTAGCTCTTCGTCTCAGTACGTGTTAAACTTCGATTACGACCTTTGAGACACCTGGTAGAGGGCTGTTACCTGTTTGAGACTTGATTTTTTTTGGATCTGAGATACCCCTATACGCTGTTCACAACAAAACGTAGCTCTTCGTCTTGTAGATCCAGAACGCAGATCTGATAAAGGCCACACATGATGTTCACCTGTCTTTGCTGCGCGTCCGAATGTTGTCACTTTCCCCACCATACCGCGCCGGGCGTCATCGAGCGAAAAGTAGCCCATTCTTCTTCGCGCGAGCGTGCTGTTATATGCGCCGATGTGCTGGGAACTGCACTTGCAATCAGAGCTGCCTCCCGCGCACTACGAGCGGCGCACGTGTTGATGTGTATCGTATTGGTACAATACATATCGCGTCGTGTTACCAAGTGATGGTAATGGGCGCTGAGTGTGTTACAAGCATCATTGCCCTTGACGTTGTTAAGAATGGTAAGCATCGAGGAACGGCGGGGGTGTCGTCACGCTAGTCGGAAAGGCCTAGCGTCCACACGGGGAAATGGAAAGTCCGACCCCGGAAGGTGCAGCGCTCGCCACCGACACGCTCAGAGCGCGACCTCGACTCCGACCACCATCACCGCCATCGTCCCCAACCATCTCGACCTCACCTGCTAGCCGCCGTCAACCGCGTCCACCGTCTCTCGTCAGCTCCTGGCCCCCGGTCCTCTTCGCCTGCCTGTCGCCTTGCCTCAGTCCGCCATCCCCCGGGACCTTTGACGTGCGCACGGCGTTGTCGGCCTACAGCCCACGCGTCGGCGACTCACGCGTCAAAGGGGCGGTTCTCAAGCAGTCACAGGTTGTGCGGACACGACGGGGACAGCAGTTCACGAGCCGACACCGCGCTTCCGTTACACCCAGCACCATTCGCCGAGCTGGACACAACGAGTCAGGGCTGCTCTCCGCGCACAACGCGTCAAAAGCCCGGGCGGGTGGGTTTCCCTTGCGCTTGCTTCATCGCAAGGGGGATATCACTTGTGAGTGATACTTCTGCACCATGGTCCGCTGGCTTGTCTCCAAGAAGGGTGTGCCCGTGTTGGCAAGCGTGAGATCGGACCCTGCTGCACAGTCACCATGTGTCTTGGTCGTGAAGTACAACGAGGAGCCATTGCAGCTTAGCTTCCATTTACAATGCACGACTTTCATTAATGGCTTCGATGATGAGCAAACGTTTACTTTGATCTATGATGCTGACAACCTGATGCGCGACGCAACTACGCTCAGCGATGCTACCACGTCCCTTTCCCACGACCAGTTGACCTCCATCGCACGCGCCGGAAATCCCCAAATAAGAGCATTGGCTCTAACGCTCGCGAAGCCATGCAAGATCAGGTGCCCTTCTTCAACCGCTACCTTCACATCGAAGAGCGGATATGAGGCCCCCTTCCACCGCCTGGCTGCCCTCGCGAAAGCTACAGCAATCGATATCACCTTTGACTACAATTGGGTGCACGCCAACAATCGTCTTCCTCTAGAACGCCTGTTCAAAGAATTGGGAGCGTTTTCGGGGGTCTCTGAGAGTGCCGATGGATGTGTATACGCGGATTGGGCCATCTTCTGTACCGTTGAAGAAGACCACCAACCACCACCTTCGTACACAAACGCGGTAGACGCAGGTGCATCACAAAAGCGACCCAGGCGTGGTAGGTTACCTCGTGCCACAATCACCTCCTCGACAATTACTCATACGCAAGATAGTTACACCACCCTCGCAGCCCGCATCGCCGCCTCATAAACGTCCGCACCACGATCATGGGTCGCCCACAGAAGTTGCGACATCCTCCCCTTGTCCACCCGGCACATCCCATCATTCGCCATTCGAGAAGGAGGAAGCAGGACTTACGAGTGCACACCCATCTCTACACGCCAGTGCCCAGCTCGCCTTCCAAGACGTTGTCAACAAGGCCGTCGCGGCTCAGCTTCCAGCCATTGTCGAAAGTATGTTGCCCAACATTCTCAGGAGCATATTGCCGGATGTCCTCCATAGATCCCTTGCTCCCAGACAATCACCGTCTTCGTCGCCTCCCCCTAGAGCCAGCTGTACGCCCCAACCCTCGCCTTCCCTCGGCACACTCATAGCCGACCGCCTGGAAGTTCTGGCCAAGGATCACTTGACTTCGATCTTCGCCGATGCCAATGACCAAGCGTACAGCCTCCGTAATCAAGCTGAAGGAGAGTTTGAGGACGTGGTTGCCGACCACAAGCTTGATGTCGACACAATCAAGGAAGACTGCATACGAGAGCTTGGTGAAGTAGTTGACGATAAGCTGTGCAAGTTCAAGGAGGAGACTGAGGAGATTGTTGAAACTGCCGTGGAAGAAGTGGGCACCAAGAGCGGTGAAATTCGCGACGACTTTTGCGACGGGCTTGAGGAGTTCGTGAAGATAGCTTCTGCTTCACTCAAGAAGTTGAGAGAAGGGAAAGGCCACCGCAATCGCATGTCGACGAGTCAAGACTAAACGTCACGAAGTATATCATTACACGATGGATCGCCATCTGTTGCTTGTGATGTCACTGCCACGCACCCCTCGACGTTGTTTCTTGTCTCATCATACGACACATGTCTGGCAACGTCGCATAGTCGCATGTGACGGGGGCTTTCTGACCCCCGTGCAGTCCCGCGCTCCACTAACCGAAAGCATCTTCGTCAGCCTCCTTTGCAGTCAGACTTCACTTTCTGACCCGGCCACTTGCTAGGCTTCTGGAGACCAATTTACGAACGCTGGAATCGTAGATCCAGCTTTGCGCACCAATATTCTCAAAGACTTCACTGGTTTCACATCATGGCAGTGATTAGCGGACTCTTGATATGATGTCGACGCCTTCATACCATGGCAGTGATGAGATCAGGGATGATGCAATAGAGTGTGTCTCCATCCAGACCCCTGTCTAATCTTAGTTCGAGCTGGTTATCAACGTTATACTTTGGTACACGGTATGATTGCGATAGCGTGGCTGTTCGTGCGATCAGAACACATCCGTCAGCATCGCCATTCATGCCGCCAGAAACGGAAGGCAGAGTGAGTGTTGGCGCGACTGGAACGACTGTTCAGACTGAAGGAGCAGCGCCACTTTGGTTCTGTCGCAAGCGCGACGTATTTTGCTAGCCCCTGCTAATGTACTTGCCCTCCCGCCTGGACCACAGCAAGAGACCACAAGATCGTTGCAGCCCGCGCGGCTGAGCCAGACGACTTGCGCCTTATCATTTAGTCCGCTTTATTCCATGCTGCACATGAAAGCCGATCGAGCCCTAAAGCCCGCTCTACATTTTGTCAGCTGCCGGCGTCAAAGCATGACGTCTTTTCTCAACCACTACACATGATCACGCCAGCAGCTGTTACGGTGTAGCTAGGATGAGGATATAAGCTCCTGGAAAGCGACATCGCGGAAGAATCAAATGCCTCATCTACCAATATATCCGACTAGTAATTGAACGAACGGCCGGAGTAACGCTTGTCTCACCCATCCCGACATGCGCGATGACCTGAATACGATATCGCATCCACCAAGACCATGTGCTTCCCATATCCGCGGAGCTCGTTAAGTCTTCGCATCCAGGTGTAATATCGCGCTCCGAAACCTCGTCCCGGCTCAGGCAACCACTGCAGACTGCCGTCAGATCAGGTTGAGAGTGACGCCTCAGAAGCCCTGCCTTTGGCGAAGATCGGAATAGCTCCAGGTGGTGAAATGGAGAGAGCGCTTAGTGTCAGGCCTTGATTAGATGGTGATGCTTTAGGGCCTGGACACGGCATCGCCTTCTGACATGGACACTCATTACAGTTTGCGGCGTTTATTCCTTCCACCACTATCTCTCAACGTGCTTCTAGTGGCCGCATATGCTGCTCTAAATATCCGGGACTACACATCGCTCGGCCAACACGGTGACTCCACGCCATCGGAGAATTTGAAAGCAGAAGATGCATCCTTCTTCGCGCAAGTGTGACCTTGGGTTGTACTTGATTTGCTTACTTCATTGTCCTCCTGGAAATCCGCCTCTTCGATGTTCGATATGCAAGGACGATTGCGTCTCTGTAGTCTGCTGAACTGGACGCGCGTCTCATCAAACGTGTCGAACCCAGATTGTCGCATTACGAAAGTGTTTCCTTTCCAAGCGCGCCCGTCCTTCTTTTCAACAACACTACCCATCTTCCGAAGCGCTTCTTGCAAGTTCTTCATGTCTCCAAAGCGCGGTATACAACTACAGCTTAAACTAAAGCTCTTGTCTCGAATCTCGCATCCATCCTTTCTCTCTTCTCTACCTATACGTCTCGTGCGTCGTTGGATAACCAGACTGTTTCATAGTGAACACCGACGACCTGTCGCTGTTGCCGCGCTTAGCTCTCTGTTTCCTAGAGGCACTATAGAGGTGCTAGTAAAGCACGCTAGTCTACCTACACCGACTCTGCGCGCCGGCGCGCGTTACCTCCTTCTCGTCATCAATTCTCAAGTCTGCCTTCGCGCAATAATTCAAGGCGTTTATTTATATGTTGCGCGGCTCGTCGCACAAGTTAGTCCCCATGATCCCGACATTAGAATACTCTCTTCACTAGTTTTGCTGCAGTTCCTACCCAACAGACGTTGCTGTAAAAAGAATAGCCTGCATACTCAAATATTGAGGTCAGAACAGGCTAAAATAGACCTAGTAGTAGTAGTAGTAGGACGTTGCTGTAGATGTCTAATATTCAAATGCGCATAATGCGCCGCTAGCTATAGAACCTGCTTCGTGATCTATTGGTCCCCATATTTAGCCGAATGAACTACATTACTATCAACAGCGACTGCACACTGAAATGCACACGGTGTTGTGAACGTGGAGATCAGAAAGGTGAGCATGCTGTAAGTGCGAACGGCTGGACCTTCTACTTGAGGTTGAGGATTCGGTATCTGGTCGAACAAGGCTATCGAGACATCACGAAATCTTCACTTTCGGACAAGCAGACTCAGAGAGTATTACAGCTTAGAGAACAAATAAAAGTACAAGTCTATTCATCTATAAAAGCGTTCCTTACATAATTTTTCGTGACATCTCTAAGAGCTGTAAAGGCCGAAGCTCTTGGGCCCAACGTAAGTCTCCGCGCCATCCTTCTTCTCGATCTGATTAGCGGGGATAGTGTGGTTGCCAGTCGTGTAAGAAATGGGCGTAATTTGCTGAGTGACGGAGAAGTTGAGGCTGCCGTCCTCGTTCCTGATGACGGCAAAAGTGCGCGAAGAGTTGCATTTGCCGTCAGTGACGCCGGGAAGGGCGCCATCGTCGCTGTCGGCCGCGGTGTTGCACTGGGTAGGGATTGTCTCGCCGTTGGCATGTTGAACGACAGCGAAGTCGTAGCTACGCATTTGTTAGTTGGGTAATTACGGGGAAGAGGGGAGAGGACGTACTAGCATGAGCCACCGTCTGTAGAACAGTATGCAATGAAATCGGTGACGTCGTATCGGGGTGTCACATCAGTTGGGGCACCGGCTACGGCGACAGCAAAGACGGATGCGATAGCAGAGAGCTTCATGGTGACGGTTGGCAGGAGAGAGATTCGTGAACGAACGTGAGGTGGAAGAGTCCGGATGTTGTTGAACGTCGATGGATCAGAAGGGGTGACTTGTCGCAACGAATACATCGCAGGCACCTCGAGCTCTTTACATTACCGGCTACGCCACGCTTGTCGACCGCTACATGGCGCGACTAGCTGCCTTGGTGACCCGATTGCGAGCATGTGACGTCGTTCCTGGGGATTGAAATGACGATCGCTGTATTAATAGCATTTGTCGAGCTTGATGGGGAAGCTTCGTCTGACGTCTTACCACCGGGGTATTGCCGAATACGAAATGACCCGAGAATTCCGGGACTGTTGCGGCTAATGTTGGGTTGTGCGTCGACGTAGTGCGTGCAATTCTGCCGAGCATCCGCGCACAGGCACAACTCTGTTCTGCGACTTATCGTATGGCATATAGGTTTGTACGGTTGTACGAGGTTCAAAGTACGCGTGGCCACAGGTGAGATAGTGTCATCTTTGCTATTCATGAATTCTATCCGGGTGCAAACTCTCTCAAAGTTGATTGTTCGGACATACCTAGGTATGCCTCCACGTAATGAGCCTGATTACGCCGCTTGGGTTCGTAGTCTCTGATGCGAATGCGTTCAATGCGCACTGCATACGACCTCGCATGCGCTTGCGTAGCTCTCTTCGTCTTGGATTAGTGTTCGTTATACCTCATATCTGTGTACAACAGCTCGTCGGGGCAGTCAGACAGCCGGCTGGCGTGGAGCTGGCGAGACTGAAGTTGATACAAATGTGATATCACGTTGTCAAGGTGCAGCAAGACGGCAACACGCTCTATCTTAGCGCCTTGCGACACCTTCGCTTTCGCAATGGCATGTATCGTGTTGCCCTGGAGGCTCGTGGGAAATCATCAATCAAGAGGTTGAGCCCAAAACGGAACATGGCGTTCTCTGCGAAAACGTAAGCCTCTCGCAGCATATACTTCGTGAATATCAAGAAGGGGACAATCCTTCCCGCTGCAATGCGTCTTGCTCAGTTCGTAACTCCACCAACCCTCCGCATAAGCTTTCACAAATTCCTGTTGGCTTGGCATGCGTCCTCTGTTCAACATCTTGTTCAGCCGGTTCCAGGACCGGATCAACATCGACAGAATGTCACTGCGCTTGTTGAGGGTTGAGTGATGCGATGTGTAAAACGGGTGAATATAAGGGAAAGGTAGATTGGCGAGGAAATGAAGCGTCGTTCTGAAAGCGAGAGCAAAGGTACAGGGGCACCAAGTCTCAAGTTCCTCTGATGTAGTAGGTAGCGATGTGAATTGGAAGCCGGAAGTTGAGAAGGCATTGGAAAGATGGTCCTGCAATCGGCACGGAGGACATGTACGGTTCCTATTGATCATAGCGAGGTCGTCGTCCGGAGGTTCATATCGAAGCGGCTCCCAAGGGGCGGAGGCAAGTGGTCGTGAATCAATTGTTCTCCCGTACTGGGCAGAGCAGGGAAAATCGTGGCATTGACTGAGTATCTCCCACGCGTATCGCCCACGCTCGAAGATCTGGGATCTAATCTGGAATTCCTGATCCAGTCAGCAATGCATGCGCAGAATCATACAGGATGAGGAATGTACGCTTAGCTGCTGGCTACCTGGGGCTAACAGACTGCTCCAGTTTGGGCGGTTGTGGGGGTGGGGACTTGGACCAGCCCAACACTTCCTGAAATGTTTCCACCCCTCATATGCGTCTTTCCAGGGCTGTTGAAGGTCAGGATAGACGCGTGAATAGCCGCCGAGTATGAGGTCTGGATCAGAATGAAGAAAGGTCGGGGGGCAAGCTGACGTCCAGCCGGACAAAGGGCCAGTAGCGTCATTTCTAGTCGGTGTAGTGAGGTTGCCGGCATCGAGTGAAGAGGAAAAGGAGCCCAGCAATAACAGAATAGTCCAAGATACAATCGTCTTAGCGAATGATCGGTCTAGAAAATAGTTAGTAATTCTGGGACTTAGTTTTCAGGGCGAGAAATCTGGGTAGTGATGAGCTTACTCCAGATAAGCAATCGAGCTCCCTTCATTGCCACACCACCAACAAATGCTACAACTACACCGGGAATGCGAAAACTCTCTGTTCCGACGTGCCAGACACTACTAAGAAGTTGCGGTGGTATGTGATTGGGGAGCTTATCGGTGAACCGTGTGCAACATTGACGAACTTTTGCTAGTACAGGCAGTGTTGGCAAAGGGTTTCTGTCAAGGTAGGCCAGCTGGTGTGCGTCGAGCGGGATACTAAATGCTTTTCTGTACCTGGGAAATTGAAGAGAATTGTTTCGATCATCGTGCATGCTCGATACGCTTGGGATGCTGGGCCTGCGATTTGCGTTCTGGATCGGTGGAGACACGAACTCCGAAGCGACATGGAGATCTGACAAAGGAATCGCCATGGAGAGAGAGAGAGAATGAGCTAGATTCTGACTGAAGCGAATCGTAGCAAGATCTGGGGTTCTTTCAGAACGTCTGGTTGGTTATGAAAAGATCAATTCAACTTGCATGGCCACGAGGGAGCGATACCGAAGCAAAGTAACTTCTCTGCTAGATTGAGTGGCGGAGATCTGGCACAAAGAGATTGCGCACTCGGGCAGTACGGACTCGGGGGCAACAAAGACTTCCAGGACTCCTTTCATCGCGACGATGCCGTCCTTGAAAGGCCTTCGAAACAGGTCATCATCAATGGAAAGTCTGCATTCTCCCCAGCTGCATAGGCATACCTGAACGGCTGTCAGGCTACGCCCCGTTATTAATCAGGCAAGGGTTCCAAATGCGAATGCTAAGACGTTTCATTGGAAGCGTTCCGCCCCGATGTCTCTTTGTTGCCTTTTGTTTGGCACCTGTATTCATCGTAAGTCACTCATGGAAGTGGTGCCATCGGGCTTTGGTGTATGTGTGAGTGCGCACTGTCCAGAGACGACCCTGGTAGTGGACCGCGTACGTAAACTCAGAGCGTGACAAGAAAGAATCACAGTCTACCAAAAGCAATGGATCGTGGCGGTTGTCTTTGAACAGTGTTGCGAGACGACGAAGAGATGACTGCGCGCCACGACAGCCTGTCTCGGCGTCATCCAAGAGCACTGTGTGAGAATGACACCAGATGTGTCAAGCCGAAAGACCGCTCTCCAGACCTGGTATGCTCCCCCAGATCTCCGATGAGCTGTCCAATCTCTGCTTCACCTACAGGCTCTGCGCCTATCATGTCTGGGCTCGAATTGTATGCATAAAGGCGGGGCTAGACGCGGTCGTGCTGGTCTGTAGATTGCGCAGTTGTATTGTGGTCATGCGATGGATCAGTCGAAATGCGTGTGGATAAGGGGGGGGCTCGGCGACAGGGCTCGATCTAGCGGCGTGGCTGTTTCCCTGGCGAGTTGTTAGCGATGAAAACAGGAGTTGAGTCCCTTGTGCAATACGTACCTGTTCACACTGCGTGGCCCAGGCGCTTCGTCCATAGCCGCCTCCACGATCCATTGCCCAAGCCTTTTGTTCATTTCAGTAAGAGACTACACTGTGTCGCAGTGGTTGCGGTGGGAGTTGCCGCAGGGCAGCCTTTGCTGACGCTGCGCGGATGCCAGCCGGCTCGGCACAATGCCCGTATGCGAATGTATCTCGATCGCCCCATCTTGGATCTCCCTCGGTAATGTGGGCGTCGGCTGCCGAGTCGTCGGTAAGGCGGCGGTCCGGTACGAAGGCCAGGCGCATAGCCCATTGTTGAACGACGGAATGGTTCGGCGGATGGGTCCAGAACCGCAGTCGGCACGGCCGCACACACTGCAGTGGCAGAGCGTGCCCGCCATGTGGCCGCTGCATTTGTTGCAGTATCCAGCCCCTAAGTGCGCACCTTGTCCAGTCCAGATAGAAATGCGAGATCCGAGGGGACAAGCGCAGCCCTGATGTAATCTTAGTCGAGGGCGGCAGTCGAGAGCTGGCTATGGCGGGAGGAATGAGCAGGTGAAGGTTGCGAGGATGCGAACGGGTATGGATGCGTACTCGCGCATCGGCGTATGGGCAACGATGAGGCGTGTCATTGGTTGTGCGTGCCGTCGGTATGGGTCTGGTATCGCGATGGTGCTAGCGACAGAGTTTCCGTTAGGATAGCTGGATACTAAACTATGTACGCCTCTCAGATGCGCACGATATGATGCGTGGTATATGCGACAGCATTGCTGAGTCGCACGTGTGTGCGGGCGGTGGTGTATCGTATGGGTGGTGTACGCAGTCGGGTGGGTGGTCCTGGCCGGAGCGGCGTGTGAGTTCAGGATTCTATGGCTTTCGCAATCGTCTCACGTCACGCGACCGGATGGACGAGGCTGCGCGCACATGTTTGGAGAAGAAGTGTTGAACTTATCGCGTGCGAGGAGCGAGTGGGCTATGGTTGGTCCTGTCAACCGCCTTGGTAGGTACCATGGTGCCAGGATCGTGAGCGATGCGTGCGGCTAGCGACAACTGGCAATTGAATGCGCATTGACGGCGCCGGCGATGGGTTTGTCGCTTGTTTGGGTGCTTCGAGGTGGCTCGCTGGAGGCGGGGCCTTGCAGCCAGCAGAGGGCGCGGCGTTCCTCCAACGCGGCCCGGCACGGACCGCCGACGGGCGCAGCTGCAGTCACACTTCGCCAGTTGCCGTGCGCCTTCCATTGACGTCAAAATCGTGAGAAAATGATCACATTTCGACCAAACCAGGAAAGCGCGGCAAGATCCAGCACGCAGCATTTAGGCTGATGATCGAGCGATGCTGTCGTCGCATCTTTGACTAGACCTGAGCACATTCTGGCTTCTGCAGCTAGGCAAATCGAGCTGTTCAGACGCCGTCCTCCGTCGATCACCATCTCCAATAGCCCGACCAGCTCCGCGTTATATGTCCGTATACATGCCTTGCAAAGTTGGCAAAGAAAGCATTAGCTGTCTTATCTAAAACTGTCTGCCTAATGCTGCTGTTCTAGTCTCGACGATCCTAGGCCATGTGTCCGCCTGCTGTTGTCTCTACAGCTTTGGTGTCGTCGCGATGGAGAAAGACGTCGGCAAAAGTATCGTGCGCGAGAAGGGGCCATATACTAGGCGCAAATAATCTCAGCCTGATTGCTCGACACTCGTTGAGAACGACCTCCTGCGCTGCGGTCCGCGCTCGCCTTGATCAGTCCGCGTGAAACCACTGCTGCCCTGCCCTGAATGAACGTGGTGTCTTTTGTCAGTCGCGAGAAGGGTACGCGGTCGAGCGCAAGTCCGTACTTGCAGACATCCGCTTCGCTTCGCTGGGTTGGGCATCCTCGTGGCACGTGGGCATGTCTTTGGGTTCGGGCTGGATGGATGATGTCGGGGTATCTATTATCACAAAGGGCTGTTAGCATACATTGAACTATGTGACATGCGCATCACTTACCGGGCAACAGAAAGTGAAGACTGCTCTGGCTGCAAATGGGCTGCGAACTTCGTAGTGCCGTAACACTGCGCACTGAAGGGTGGAATAGCACAACAAAGCTGTCGCACGTTAAACACTTTGATGCCGTAAATTGAGTATGCTGAACGTGTTAAGTGAGTGATGCCGAAGGCGCGGCTCTAACTTATGGTTGGTCTTCAGAGTCGTGCTTACCTGGGGCAAGCGTGGACGCGCTAACCCTATTGGGAGTCCTCTGCTCTAGCTCCGCACGCAGCTGTCTTCGCTAAAGGGCGAAGCGGGAGCAAGAGGTAAGTTAGCAGCGTCTTAGAGCGCTTTCTGCGCTCTGGCAAAGGACCTCTTCCGCTTTTAAACCTCGCTCGAATTGGTTTTTATAGCCTCCACCTCTTTTACCTCTTGCTTATCCCTTCTATTTTTTAACGGGCGGATTCGGTCTATAGCCTCAAGCAGCGAGATGGAACACATGACTACTACTCCAGGGCTACTACACCTATCACAGCCTATTCTGACCTCAATTTATCAATGTGCAGGTTATTCTAGTTCTACGGAGTAGAATTTAGGCACAGATTCCCGACAGACATTCCTGAACGCACAACGCCTGCCCAACCTCTCATACACCCACATGTAACTCACACGACCAAAGCCAGAGTCTTCTCTTTACAGAAGTTTCCTCCACAGTCTAAGGCTCAAAGAATTATATGTACTAACCTTGCTAGCTTCGCGTCACCGGACGCCGTAACCCGCCAGTCAGTAGACCTAACCGCCGACTACCGCGCAGACGTACCAAAGGCTTAGACTTCATAGTACCTTCAGGTCCTAAACACTTCTCGATGCCCTGTAGTCGCTCGCTTGTAGCTCAAGCCTGCAAGCTACGAATCTTCGTCAGATCTTCGACACGTGCCAACTCACTGTTCAATATTCCCGAAGCCCGACAAGTCATCTCATAGCGATTGTCGGATTCTAGGAACCAGTGGACGAACAAGTCATAGCGGATAGACTCGACTCTCATGGTGATATGGCTGCCGAGGGCCATAGAACATTAGGGTTCCGATCGGATTCCTACTCAGTACCCTCTTCACCCCGCCCCTGTTGAAGCAGGAATACGAGCACTTGCCGAGCGCTTTTCCGCAGGCTGAGCCGCACGCGGCTAGAGGATATTATGTGTCTGCTTATGCAACAGTCAATGAGTTTATTCCGTGTATCGATTCGGATGGATTTTGAATGAAGAAGAGGCAAGTCCCTCTTCATGCGGACGTTCTACGACGGTGCTAACCCTCATAGAACCAAGAAACACATCAGTCCTAGCTGAAAGAGTCCTTTTCTCACGGTACTCACATGTCCAATAAGCTAGCAGAGTGTGAGCGCGCGCGCGACGGCGCCGTCATGGTCAATTATCTGCGCCAACTGCAGGATCGAGCCGCCTTCGCAAACGACGCCGAAGATCTTGCGCAGACCAGGCTCAGGTTTCGGCGATTTTAAGTGTCGAAAGCAGCGGCGTAGCATCTCGACCTCGTTTCCCCACATATAACGGACGCGCATGACTTTAAGAAGCTCCCTAGCCTGAATGCTGATGAATTGAGTCTCCTCGGTATGAGACTCTCCAGCTTCGTCGAGACCCTCCAGATGCGCTGATAGCTCAGGCGGGCGTTGTTTATCGGCAATGTCGAGCGTAAGACTAAGACGACGGTAGGCCCGTTTGATAGCGTGAACGTTGATGGACTCGCTCGTCGACGACGATGACATCGATCTAGTCTTTGCTGACAGGCCAAAGAAGTCTTGGAGAAGTCTCATGTTGGCTTGGGTAAGTGGTAGGTCGTCGAAGAGGGCCTTTGCGTCCTGGGGTAGCTTGCGAGTGCCAGACACGGGGGTGTAGTCTCGCTCTCGCTTATGTGACACGATGCACAGTCTGAAATCTGAGCTGTGGAGTTGAGAATTCGTGCGGTCATTGGAGGTGAGGGTGTCAGTACGGTCGCAACGCCTCTTCTGTGAGACCTAGACCCCACCGGTTATGCCTCTACTCGTATCAATCAGAAAGTACCCCATCAACTGCTTGCGATATGGAACCTTGTATCGCCATCATCGTGGAGTCACAGCTATTCAATGCTCATGTACCTCGACACTTTGTCGGGAGGCTGCACGGGCATCATTATAATCTCTTTTGATCCCGGAGGCGCGTCGGCCACCAGAACGCGAACGAGGCCAATGATGAGAGGTACGAAATCGAATATCATTGCCCGGCGAGGGAATGAAGCGTCATTGGCAACGACAGTATGCCGGCGTCATAACAAGAGGGCATTGCCCAACGACTTCAAGCTTCATGAGTTTGACAATAACCGCCACCAGGACGTCGAAATAAGCACTCTGTATGCCTTGCGTTTCAAGAGTTCGATATGCATTCGCTGGTAGGGACTGTTTGTGCGGGGCGGTCTGGATCGCTGTTATACGAAATCGCGATATGGGGATAAACTCGCCTTTAGACATGTGAATAGAATATTTCGTTACATGCCCTAGGACAGATAAGGAGTCTGGATTTTGCTGGTCTTCTTACTCGCTTAAGGCTGAGAGTCACGCCTTCATGGCATGTGGCGTGAGTGGGGAGCTGCCAGTCCTGCGTGGTGGCTATGGCCGGGATGTTCTGACGAGTCGTACTCGCTATTCGTGGCATTTGGCGGTGGTAGATGTGCTTTTAGATATTGCTGAGCTTGTGGGCCTTGAAGTAGATGTGTGCAGTAGAAGTGATTGGAGAGTAGTAGGGTCGCTTACGTCACTGGAGGCCGGAAGGTCCGGCAAAACTTCGGTGCGACACATGCATTCGGCATCCTTCCAGTGACGTACGCAACCTCACCACCACCACCACTGCCCTCTGCCATCTACCATTTCGAGACCACGGCTGTCCGCTCACGCGAGTACTGAGCTCTCGTGGTCAGGAAGTCTTTCATGTCCTCCAAGAATGCCAAGCCACGATCATTGCGTTGATGCGAAGTCTGTGAGGCAAGTGCCAGTGGAGGCACCGTCTGTACCATTCCGGCAAGAACCTCGTTGGGGGACGGGAGCGGATAAAACCTCCACCGTGTGTTTATTCTACTCAGCGTATCAGTCTGTACGCATTACTTATGCAGTTTCCCGTCGCAGTGCGCGTATCGCAATAGCGCACACTTACACAAAGCTTTGTCTTCTCCTTTCTCTTCGACAGTGTATGGCGTGACGGTCCGTCCCGTGACTGCTGCCCATCCTACTCGAACAAATGATACGACGCTTCAGGATCAACCTCCTTCCAATACAGCTTCCAATCCGACAAGATGCTATTCTCGAAAACGGGCATTGGAAGATGGAAATGCTGTCACTGAGCGACGGGCTTGTCTGACCACCGCACATGTCATTTTCGCCGCCGCCGAAATACCTGGGACCCGCGGCTGCATCTCGTAACTTCCCCCTCGGCAGGCTACTTCAAGCCGCTCCGTAAAACTGACTGCTGCAATTGCTGGTAGAGCTGACCAAGTGCAGATGTGATGGGTACAGTTAGCAGTTGCTCTTCCGATCATTGCTACCTCGGATCTATTGGACTAATCTGGGAATGATAGCGCTTCTCCCTGCCGACCCCGCAATGCAGGGTCATATCACATACCGCAGTCACCTGCAACAAGCAATTCGCAGGAAACGCCGTATGGTCATGGTCAGATACCAAATATCTTCGTTGTGATCCTTGCTGAGAGTGCATACTTGCTGGGCATCTTTTGCCGGGAAACAACAACCGAATACTTTACTCTTAATACGACATCAGAAGGAAAGCTGGAAACTCTTGAGTTACATTGAGCTATCACCGGCTGCAAGTATGGTGCACGTACAGCCGAGGACTAAATCAGCCTGAGGACACGACCCATGGCTCGCAAGCCAGACACGCGGATCGACAGGCCTTAGTGGACTCTCTGGAGGCACGTCGCGATATGGCTTTGACACGAAGACGCGATCAGGTACCTCTCGGTCATCTGCATCGTTACCAGAAGAATGAATTCCCAATCCACTGAATCTTCTCTCGAAATGAAACGCACAGCAGAAGGCCGCACAGGAATTACTGATTCCGTGAGAGACAAAGATCGTGAGCCGCGTCACACGGTACTCCTGGTTTGTGTAGCTGTGGACGGTAGCTCATATCTTGACTATGCAACGAGTTAATGTGTCTTGGACCATAGGAACAACAGGCTGCCGGATGCCATCCAGCCGTGGTCCAGTCATATACATGCGATGATAGCATTCCCGACGACCTTACACACACCTGTTGACCTACAAAGCGGCTGCTTATCTCGTGATATCCAATGCGTCTGTTGCGTCATGCGCGCGCATGAGACTTGGAAGGTAGCACTGTCTTTTCCACCTCCCGCGCTAGTCAACAGATCGTGTCGGTGAAGTGAATATGACTACCTCATGCACGCTCATCGCAGTCTCTCCAGTGTGCTGAGTCACACTACCGATCTACATGATGCCGAGTGCGGAACTGCAGCGCTCTCGAGTGCTTCTTACCGCCTGTCGACTTCAAGACTTGACCGCAGTGTCTGTTGTCTTGGCGCATGGACCCAGTGAGCCCATCTCATGCAGACTCCATCCATTACGGCCCATGAGTGCTTTCATATGTGACAGCGAGCGCGTACCATGCAAAAGATCTATCTCACAGCACGAACAATGCCAGTGGTCAGCCAGTTCTGCCCACGGGTGGACGAACACGCTCATACAGCGCCAAGACACTAGCAAATGGGAGTGCGCATTCAAAACAAACCCGACGCTCATACGTTGATCCCACTACTGGCCGGTCTCACTATATATCAAAAGAGAGGATCTCAGTCTTTCGAGCGCTCCATCGGAGCTACCGCTGTCATCATGGCGCCGCGCAAGAAGAGCGTCCTCCCCACGGCTACCGAAACACCCATCTTCTCTTCGGCGCAGCGCAACAAAGCCGGTGTCAAAAAGCCCTCTAAGACAGAGAAACAGGCGCAGCAACCCACGGTCGCTCAATCTCCCGTACGCCTGCCCCCGGCTCGGCCGCTATCGCCATTTCATTACGACGAATACGAGGCGCCTCCATCTCCTCCGCCTCCGCCATCGTCCACCCCCAAAAGTCCCAGGAAGAAGAACACCAAGCCAATCATCCCGTTCGACAAGGTCACCACAATCCCGATGTCTCAACTGCGAGCTCAGCAAGCCGACCGCTCGGCCATCCTCAGGAAGGGTTCCTCACTCATCCCCCGCGATCCCGCTGTACACATCTTCAACTTCCACAATGCATGGCGCAAGCACCTCTTCAACCGTGATATGGATCCGGCTCTGCAGTTCGCGGCACCCGAGCTGAGGACGATGCTGGGCTTGAGTCCAAAGTGGAAAGATCCGACCAAGACGAAGGTTCCGAAGAAGAGGACCCCGTTTGGAGAGGGCTTCATGGCGCTTTACAAGGGTGGAGATGATGAGGAAAAGTAGGTGTACCTGGTTCGGGGTGTGGAACATATGTGAGAAGTTGTCACGTTGGTGATAAGGGAACTAGGTGATGCGCGCGAGATGACGGCTTTGACGATGCAGTCTTCCAGTCCCAGGTAGAAGGATTTCATACGATCTTGTCGTATTGCTCTTGTACCGGAAGCGTCTTTGCTAGTGCCAGCGCGCTCTTTTGCATCAATGTCACCATAAAGTTGAGTAGTTCTAATCATACATTCTCCTCAGCTGCTCTTGTGCCATGGTGACGAATATGTGTGATGATAAGGTTACCGCAGCAGAACACCCGCTTGCGCTGCCGTGTGCAAAAGGTGAGTGCTTCCAGATCAAACGCAAGATGACCAAAAGGAGTACGTGTTGTTCGATCTCACCACCAAAGATTCGGTAGAGGATTAGATCAAAGATTCCAGCGCGGGCTATGACATTCAGTCTTTTTCAAAACACACTTCGAGATGCTGAAACGCGGTCAGCGTGCCAACCTCTGCACAAAGCACATCTAGCCAGATACAAGTCAGACTTGCCAGATCGTCAGCCGCGTGCCGTCGTAATGCTCAGAGCCTTCGGGTCTTTCATGCAAGCAAAGTCCTATCACCAACACAGTTATGCAGTTGACCTGAATAGGAAGCAAGGATGCTATCCCTGTACGAAGTCGCTGTCTCACCATTTTAGCCATAATTGTCTCTACTATCTTCCGAGCTCACACAAAGCTTATGTAAAATAGTGCACCATTGTTCTCGTCATATCAGACTTGCCTGTACCAGAGCGACAAGACGACGTGAGCAAACGCGCACAAGGTTCCAGGGCTTAAAACCTGAGGTCAAGCATCATCAACGAAACAGAAGTCTTCATCGCAGCGGAAATGTATCTGACAGAACTATGGTGATGATGCAGCATAACTGTACAAAGTCTGACCGTTGTTCGACCAACATGCAGGCCAGAATTTGCGTCGCAGCGAGGCAAATCTGAGACAACAACGCATGTCTCGTGGAAGGCAGTGCCACATGTCATGCCACTACGTACTTGAATGAAACGCTAGAGGGGAACTAATAGTAGCAGTACACCATGGGTTGAACGCTGAAAAGATGTGGTGACATGGGCGTGGATAATCTCGCGCACCGCTAACGTGCCTGTGTACCAGCCAGATCATCCCCGTACCGGTAAGATGTCTGCCTTCATGCCTCCCACCATTCCAGATCGTCCATATGCTCGGAGATAGTCAGTCGGGTACTGGCTAAGAAGCTCACCTTGCGCTGAAAGTGAGCTGATGATCGATAAGATGTTTCAACTGCTGGCTATCTTCTCCCGCAAGCTTG